CTGTCGACTGAGGCTCAGCAGTGGATGCAGGACCTCCCCTTCGATGGCCAGGCCCTGTTTGCAGAGCCAGATGGATAGTAAACTGCACGGACTGAAAGACTCCCACACTACCCTGAAAACTCTAGGGCTGTACATCCCTGGTCCAGCCCATATGTGGTTCAGACCTCAGCCATCTCAGGATCAAGGGAGCCAACCCCATCCGGAGCCACCCCATAAGAAGAATAGGGGCTACAAGCGCCGTCCGAGCCATCCACCTCCACCCTCTGCCCAATGAGGCTCGACCCACAACAAGCAGGGGGGCAAGCGAGTGTTTTGAGAGTGCACTCGAGGGTGACCTACCCCAGACTATACCCCGGATCCGTCTTTTGCGCTGTTTTCCAACCACCTTTCATTTTTCCTCCCCATATGGACCACTATAACTTCGGACCTCTGGGTCCTCAATACTGTGGTACAGGATTATGCCCTCCAGTTTCTTTCTACACCCCTTCATGTCCCTCTTCAGGGACCCTTCTCACGAGAGTCTTCATGCACAGGAGGTAGAAGGGTTGCTGCAGCTGCGTGCGGTGGAAAAGGTTCCCGCGAGTACAGGAACAAGGGGTTCTGTTCCTGGTACTTTTTAATCCCAAAGGCCCAGGGTGGTCTACAGCCCATCCTGGACCTGTGAGACCTCAACAAATACCTGAAGAAGCTGAAGTTCCGCATGGTCTTCCTGGCCTCCATCATCCCCTCCCTGAATCCGGGAGACTGGTATGCCGCCCTCGATTTGAAGGATGCATATTTCCACATAGTGATCTTTCAAGGTCACAGATGCTTCCTACGTTTCACAGTGTGAACTGACCACTATCAGTCCGCAGTCCTACAGTTGTGACAGCACTGAGGGTGTTCACCAAATGCATGTCGGTAGTAACCACTTACCTCAAATGTCAAGGTATCCAGATCTACCTGTACCTTGACAACTGGCTCGTCAAAGGCTGCTCCAGGTCCCAAGTTCAGAGGCATGTTGTGATTCTGCAGGCCACATACCAAATCCCAGGGCCTGCTGGTAAACAACAAAAAGTCAACATTAGTTCCGGTGCAGAGGATAGAGTTCATCGGAGCAGTGCTCGACTCCACCTGTGCCAGAGTGTTTCTACTGCAGGGGAGGTTTCAGGCGATAGTGGACCTCATCGTGTGAGTTTCCGTGTTCCCCCGACCATGCCCAGGGGTTTGTTTGTGCCTGCTGGGACACATGGCAGCATGTACGTATGTCGTCCACCATACGGGCTTATGATGCGGACCTTACAGCAGTGGCTGCTGACGGTCTATTACAGTCCAGAGATCACTTGGAAAAGGTAGTTATCATCCCACCTACAATACTTACCTTGCTACACTGGTGGACCAACCCCAGGGCAGTCCTGGAACAAATTCCATTCGACAGCTCTTGTCACTCAATCGAGTTGATATCGGACACCTCAGACCTCGTCTGGGGAGCTCATCTCAGTGGCCTCCAGACCCAGGGCATGTGGTCCCCAGAGGAGATGACGTTGCGCATAAATGTCAAGGAGTTCAGAGCAGTATGCTTGGCCTGCGGAGTCTTTCTACCACACCTGGCAGACAAGGTGGTGAGAGTGTTCACAGATAATATGGCTTTGATGTTTTACATCAACAGGCAAGGGGGAGCACGCTCATTGGCCTTCTGCCAAGAGGCACTCCGACTGTGGGATTTCTGCATCGACCACACGACCCAACTGGAGACCTGTCACCTCCCCGGCATCAGGAACACACTGGCAGATGGCCTCAGCAGATCCTTTTCCTCTCACCATGAGTGGTCGCTCCATCCAGAGGTAGCCCAGTCCCTCTTTCAGAGGTGGGGAACTTCCCAAGTGGACTTGTTTGCCACCAGACACAACAGGAAATGTCTTCGCTTCTGTTCCCTAGAAGGCCTGGGCAAAGACTCCTTCTCCAACACCTTCCTCCTTTTGTGGTCAGGGGCTCTGATTTACGCCTTTCCACCGATCCCACTCGTCAGCAGAATCCTGTCAAAGGTCAAGAGAGACAAGAGCCAAGTCATCATGGTCACCCCGGCATGGCTGCGCCAACATTGTTTCGGCATGCTGGTGGACCTAGCGGTGGCCGCTCCCTGGCCCCTTCCCAACCTACCAGATCTGCTCTTGCAAGATCATGGGCGTCTTCTACATCCCAATCTTGCCCCCCTCCACCTCATGGAGTGGATACTGCGTGGCTTAATTTGGAGGAGTGGGCCTGCTCTAACGAGGTCCAGCAAATCCTTAGAAAGCAGAAAGCCTTCCATTAGAGCAATCTACCTGGCCAAATGGACGAGGTTCTCCCACTGGGCGTCTGAGCACAACATCTCTCCAACCCACTCCTCCTTACAATCTATCTTAGATTATCTGCTCCATTTTAAGAATCCCTCTCTTCTATCAGAGTACACCTTGTGGCTATCTCTGCTTTTCACCCGCCAATCTAAGGTCAGGCAGTGTTTTCACATGACATGTCGGTCTGTTTCCTGAGAGGCTTCGAGAGACTCTTCCCGCCGGCCCGGCCTCCTGTTCCACAGTGGGACCTTAACTTGGTTCTTTCTAGGCTCATGGGCCCACCCTTTGAGCCTATGGGCTCCTGCTCCCTCTCCCACCTGTCATGGAAGGTCGCATTCCTTATGGCGATAACATCCACAAGATGGGTGTCGGAGCCTAAAGCCCTGACATCGGAGCCACTGTATACGGTGTTCTACAGGGACAAAGTTCAACTGCGACCCTATCCAGCCTTTCTGCTGAAGGTGGTGTCTTCCTTCCATGTCAACCAGGACATCTTCCTCCCAGTGCTTTGTCCCAAGCCATACACTACTGTGGAGGAAATGAGGCTGCACACCCTGGACGTCAGATGTGCCCTGGCATTTCACCTGGAGCGTACCAAGCCCTTCCGCAGGTTGACCCAGCTCTTCATCGCGACAGCGGACAGGATGAAGGGCCTTCCGGTGTCATCGCAGAGGATTTCCAACTGGACCACTTCCTGCATCTGGACCTATTACAAGCTGTCACAGTCTCGCTGCCACCGATTGTGAGGGCCCACTCCACTAGAGCTCAGGCGTCCTCGGCGGCCTTCCTGGCACACGTTCCCATTCAGGACATTTGCAGAGCCGCAACGTGATCTTCACACATTCACAGCACATTATACCATCACTCAGCATGCCAGAGACAACGCTGGGTTTGGCAGAGCTGTGTTGCAATCTACACATCTGTGAACTTCTACCCACCTCTGCTGGCACTGCTTGGGAGTCACCTAATATGGAATGGACATGAGCAAGTACTCGAAGAGAAGACAGTGACCTTTTCTGTAACTGGTGTTCTTTGAGATGTGTTGCTCAGGTCCATTCCAGAACCTGCCCTCCTTCCCCACTGTCGGAGTTTCCGGCAAGAAGGAACTGACGGTGTGGGGAGCCGGTGGCACCCCCCACCCCTTATATACCGCTCCAGAGGGTGGCAGAGCCAGTCTCCTACAGATACCACTGAAGGAAAAATGCCCGGCACCAGTACATGTGGTGAGCACACATACCTAATATGGAATGGACATGAGCAACACATCTCAAAGAACAAAGGGATAGCTGAGTGGTTTGAGCATTGGCCTGCTAAACCCAGGGTTGTGAGTTAAATCCTTGAGGGGGCCATTTAGGGATCTGGGGCAAAAATTGGGGATTTGTCCTGCTTTGAGCAGGGGGTTGGACTAGATGACCTCCTGAGGTCCCTTCCAACCCTGATATTCTAAGATTCTATTTCTTTTCACAAACTACTGGTGCACCAGTTCTACTCCATAGACTGCAGGAAAGACAGATATTCTAGGGCAGGGGCAGGCAAACTTTTTGGCCTGAGGGCCACATCGGTTTCCAAAATTGTATGGAGGGCTGGTAAGGGGAGGCTGTGTCTCCCCAAACAGCCAGGCATGGCCCGGCCCCTGCCCCTATCTGTCCTCCCCCCTCCCCCCTGCACCCCCCACTTCTCACTCCCTCATGGCTCCTCCGGGACTCCTGCCCCCCCATCCCCTGACGCCCCCCCCCCCCACGGGATTCCTACCCCATCCACCACCCCCTGCTCCCTGTCCCCTGACCACCCCCGAACCGCTCACCCCTGACTGCCCCCTGCCACCCATCCAACTCGCCCTCTCATTCCTGACTTGCCCCCCGGGATCCATGCCCCATCCAACTCCCCTGTTCCCCACCCTCTGACCGCCCCAACCCCATCCATACCCCACCCCTGCCCTCTATCCAACCCCCCCTGCCCCCTCACCATGCTGCCTGGAGCACCAGTGGCTGGCAGTGGCTACAGCCGCGCCGCCCAGAGGACCGGGTCAGGCCGCGGCTCTGCAACTGCGCTGCCCGGCCGCCCAGAGCATTTCGGCGCTGAGGCTGTCGGGGAGCGGGGACTAGCCTCCCAGGCCAGGATCTCAGGGGCCGGGCAGGAGGGTCCCACAGCCGGATGTGGCCCGTGGGCCGTAGTTTGCCCACCTCTGTTCTAGGAGTATGTATGTGCAGGAGAAAATGGGAAACAGGAGGGAGGAGGAAATTGGAATGTGTGTGCACAGGAATGTTCGGATGCCTCGAGAGGGTACGAATGTGAGCATGCGCATAACAGGAGGGAAAGGGAAATTGGCATGTAAGCTTTGGTGTCTTTGTGCAAAGCAACTGTAAATCCATGTTAATTTGCAAGTATGCTCTGGCTGCTTTGTCTCTTCTACCAAAAAAGTTTGTTCATCTAGGAAGATTTGTGAACAGAGGCCTCATGGCTAGTTAGAAAGGAACATGAAGACAGAGTATAAAGTCATCTGCTTTCAGGAACTGTATTTTTCCTACGATCTGTTTTTCAAAGAATACTATTTTGTGTTGATTATAATATCCCAAGATCTCTAGTAAAGTACAAACTATCTGTATGTCTGTCTATTTTATTTTATTTTATTTACCATTGTCTTAACTGTCTAAGAACTTAACTTTTCTTTCTGTGAGACTACAGGTTATGGTATGAGAATCCTGGTGTATTTAGTCCACCTCAGCTGACTCAGATCAAGCAAACATCTCTTGCCAGAATTTTGTGCGACAACGCTGACAATATAACCAGAGTGCAACGTGATGTCTTTAAGGTGGCCGAGTTCCCACATGGTTATGGTAGCTGTGAAGAAATTCCTAAACTGGATCTCAGGATGTGGCAAGATTGCTGTGAAGGTCTGTATCCAGGGAGAGTATTGGGAGTGCATCCTATGTTTCTGGTTATGTTTTTTTAATGGCCTGCTTTGAAGAAATTTTACGAGATTTTTAGTTACTATTCAACTCTAACTCAATCTGAACTAGGAAGATGGATAATGTGCTTACAAAACTATACTTGGAGTGTGCAGAAGTAATATTCCACTTCCCATAGAAGTAATAGGCGGTGAAGGAATCTGGTCAGGAGATTGATGTAGCTACTGTATAGCTAAGGCTTTGGTTCTGTTGTATTAGCAGTTTACTTATAAAAAACATTGAAAGCTTACTATTTTTTCTAAATGACCTTAAAAATTCTAGTAAATTCCATTGTTTGATTAAAATTTAGACTGTAAGAATCAATGTTTTGCTCACTGTACTTAAATTTATAGGTACTAAGTCATCCATGTATTTAATTGTTATAGCTGTGTAAGTAGGAAGCATCTGTTTTTGTTATCCTTCCTGTTTTGTTCAGTGCAAAATGCTTTTCCACATGGAGGGCAGAGGAGCAGACACTTAGTTACCAAAACCTGTTACCTCTTAGATTGCTTGAACAAACCAGGATTTATTTTTTTTTAATGCAAAACTGTTCTATAATAACAAAACCAGATTACCTCTAAAGCTTATTTAACTAATCATACAGCAGAATTACTGATTTATCATTATAAAATAATTAGAGTTTAAATGAAACACCCAGTATTTTCTTTCTACTTCCTTGACATTCTAACCTGCTGCTTGAGATTATCACAGGCCCCAGGACCTAACTTTTCTGCAGGGTGAACTGTTTGAGCAATGAGCTCCCCAAGTTCAACTTCATATTTTCCAAGAAAGCTACCTCTGAGGCTTTTTTCGGTATCTTAACAGAGGAACAATTACCCTATGTTTCAAGTAATCGACTAAGACTAAGGAGAAATGGTATCAATTCATGGCTCTGCCACATCCTTCCTGTGTGACATTGGGAAAGTAGCATATTCTTTCTGTACCTCAGCTCTGCACCTGTAAAATGGTGATGATGATCCTTTCTTACCTCAAAAGAGTATTATAAAGATAAAAGTATTAATCTTGGTAGAATGCTTAGGGTATGTCTACACAGCAGTGTAAGGCCAGACTCGAGCCTGGACTCACGCCTTGTGTCCACATGCCAATTGTGTTAACCTACGACTCAAACCTAGGGTTCCAGGACCCTACAGGGCTGGAAGGTCTGAGCCTGTGTTAAACTGGGACCTAGGGTCTGAGCCCTATTGCTTTCCTGTGTGCACATGGCCCCAGCTTGTTGACTCGAGGCCTGGAAGTCATCCAGATGTATCCCAGAGTTCCTTGGGACAATTTTCTTAGTCTTCTCTATGCTGACAATCTGTGGTGCAATCTGTTGCACTCTATTGCAAACAGAAGCCACACTTCCCTTTGCAAAGGCAGCAGCTCAGGTCAGCATTAAGCCATTGTCTTCTGAACACTGGTCTGTGAGCACTGCTGTCAGGAAGCCTGCAGGGTTTTCCATGGAGACCATTCAGAAGAAGCTTTTTGCAAAGAGAGCTGATTTCTGGTTACAAGAGCATAGCCAGATTTTGGTGTATGCTATCCAGGTGAGAGCAGGGGCAGAGAGCAGATCAGGGACTAAGCAGATGCCCTGTGAGTAGAGAAAGAAGCAAAGCTCCCGGCTCAGCACGGCTTGGGGAGGATGACTCCCAGCTCCCCAGCCATGCCTCCTCCAGGGCAATTCCCCGGTCCCTGCTCTGCTCTCTAACCCCCACCCCCAACCCCTGGGGCTACATGTGCAAGGGCACCTGGGAAGCATGTACTATCAAGGGGGCGAGTGGGAGCCAGCTCCAAACCTCCCCACAGCCTCCTGTGGTAGTGACTCCAGCTGTTCCTAGCTGCTGTACAGAGCTTGCCCAGAGCAGCTGACAGGTGGGAGGCAGCTCCTGGATGCCAGGATGTTGGGGATCATCCCTTCCCCGGCCGTGCTGACCTGGGAGTTCTGCTGCTCGCCATCCTTGCAGGGCTCCTCTTGGTCCTGCTCCACACTTTGTCCCTTGCTCCACCCCCCCCCCCCCGCCCTTCCTGGGTGTGTGTGTGTGTGTGTGCGTGCGTGCATGCAGGGCCGCCTGGACAGTGTGCACTATGAGGGCCGTGAGTGGGATCCAGCCCCAAAACTTACCCACAGCCCCCGGGTGTCCTTTATCCCTGCCTCCCAGGGGGCAGGGATAAGGGATCATAGAATCATAGAATATCAGGATGGAAGGGACCTCAGGAGGTCATCTAGTCCAACCCGCTGCTCAAAGCAGGACCTAATCCCCAACTAAATCATCCCAGTCAGGGCTTTGTCAAGCCTGACCTTAAAAACTTCTAAGGAAGGAGATTCCACCACCTCCCTAGGTAACCCATTCCAGTGCTTCACCACCCTCCTAATGAAAAAGTTTTTCCTAATATCCAACCTAAACCTCCCCCACTGCAACTTGAGACCATTACTCCTTGTCCTGTCCTCTTCTACCACTGAGAATAATCTAGAACCATCCTCTCTGGAACCACCTCTCAGGTAGTTGAAAGCAGCTATCAAATCCCGCCTCATTCTTCTCTTCTGCAGACTAAACAATCCCAGTTCCCTCAGCCTCTCCTCATAAATCATGTGTTCCAGCCCCCTAATCATTTTTGTTGCCCTCCGCTGGACTCTTTCCAATTTTTCCACATCCTTCTTGCAGTGTGGGGCTCCAAACTGGAAACAGTACTCCAGATGAGGCCACACCAATGCCGAATAGAGGGGAATGATCACATCCCTCGATCTGCTGGCAATGCTCCTACTTATACAGCCCAAAATGCCGTTAGCTTTCTTGGCAACAAGGGCACACTCTTGACTCATATCCAGCTTCTCGTCCACTGTAACCCTTAGGTCCTTTTTTGTAGAACTGCTGCCTAGCCACTCGGTCCCTAGTCTGTAGCAGTGCATGGGATCCGTCCTTCCTAAGTGTAGGACTCTGCACTTGTCCTTGTTGACCCTCATCAGATTTCATTTAGCCCAATCCTCTAATTTGTCTAGGTCCCTCTGTATCCTATCCCTACCCTCCAGCGTATCTACCACTCCTCCCAGTTTAGTGTCATCTGCAAACTTGCTGAAGGTGCAATCCACAGCATCCTCCAGATCATTAATAAAGATTTTGAACAAAACCAGACCCGGGACCAACCCTTGGGGCACTCCACTTGATACCGGCTGCCAACTAGACATGGAACCATTGATCACTACCCATTGAGCTCGGCAATCTAGCCAGCTTTCTACCCACCCTTATAGTCCATTCATCCAGCCCATACTTCTTTAACTTGCTGGCAGGAATACTGTGGGAGACCGTGTCAAAAGCTTTGCTAAAGTCAAGGAATAGCCCTGGGCTGTGCTGGAGCATACTGCACCCCAAACCCTGGGGATGCATTTCACTGCTCCACAACTGGCAGCAGCCAGGCTGGGGCATGTGTGTGTTTTTTCCCAAAACTGACATTTTTATGTCAAACTTCAAAATAGACAAATAAATAAAAAAACAACCAAGCAAAAATATCTTGAACCACACCATTTTAAAAATTAAGAACAGAAAAGTTTCATTTAAATAGTTTGGTAGCCTTGGAGACTGATGTCCCAGTTATCCTCAGAACAGGTGCACATGTGCATTTTCTTGCCAGTGTGACAGCCTAGAGGGGGAAAGCCCAATTTTCATTTAGTTCAGTGCAAAGCCGCTTCAAACTGCAGTGATTCTACTGAGACAGCCACCCAAAGGAACTAATTATTCAGTTTATGTACTCATGTGCTCCTTATGGGCACCTGAGACCCATCGATAGCATCGTCACAGTTAGGAAACAAGATGGGCAATAGAGTTTTCCCACGGTGCAACACATTTGTAGGGCTAGAGTGTTGACATTGGCAGGCAGGGATGTTAGACATTGAGATGGGGTTACTTTGACTCGGGTCTGTGCACTGCAGTGTGGACTCCAGAGCCCTAGATTCGAGCACAGGTCAGAAAATCCTTAACCTAGGGTTAAAATTCAGTGTAGACTCTTAAATCCATGAATAGGGTCCCTAGGTTGCATTGCTGTTTTGACATACCCTCAGATACTGTATAAGAAGATGACAGAACATTAGGCATGAAAACATGACAAATTGAGGTCAATGGCAAAATGACTATTTACTTCTTTGGAGCCAGGATTTCACCCCAGTTGCCTAGGGTATGTAGCATTCATCAGTATAATTTTCTAAGTTTCTAAATTTCTTTCCGAAATCTTATCTAAATCAGAAAATAGGGGTATCTGATGTGGTATCCTATCTCTACAGTGGCTCAATACCTGTTCTTTCATAGAAAGGTTCAAGAAACCCCATATTAGAATAACTTGTCCAGAGGAGACATGTCTTCCTAATTCTTACCAGTTAGTGATTGGCATGTGCCCAGAAGCATAAGAGATTTCTCTCTTGTACATTTTTATCCTTTCTAAGACTGATTCAGGAAGGCATCCTTATTCAGGTAAACAATAAAACGTGCTTAAATCCCATTAAAATCAATGGAATTAAAGTACATGCTTTATTTTAAGCATGTAGATGATAGGTTTTTAGGCCAGAAGGGACCATTAGATTATCTAGTCTGTCCTCCAGTTTATAAAATTTCATCCAGTTACCCCTGTATTGTGCCCAATAACGTGTTTGAATCAAGCATATCTTCCAGAAACAAGACATGGAGATTCCACCGCTTCCCTTGGTAGTTAGTTCCAGTGGCTGTCACTCTCACTGTTAAAATGTGTGCCTTATTTCTCATCTGAATTTATTTGGCTTTAACTTCTAGCTATTTGTTCTTGTTATGCCTTTCTCTGCTAGATTTAAGTGACCTTTGGTACCTGGTATTTTCTCCCCAAGAAGGTACTTATACACTGTAATCGTCACATCTTAATCACCTTTTTGGATAAGCTTAAACAGATTGTTTTCTTTAAGTGACTCACTGTAAGGCATTTTCTTCAGC